AGACAGACAGACAGACAGACAGACAGAGAGAGCATATGTACATATTTGTAACTATATGTGGAGGCTAGAAGACAACCTCCACTTTGTTTTTTGAGACAGGTTCTTTTACGGGCCTAGCATGTGGCAATTCAGCTAGATTGGCTGGGCAGCAAACTCCCATAATCCACCTGTCTCTGTCTCCTCAATGCTATGATCCTAAGTGCACCCAATGGCCCCTTCTGTCTCTTCAAAAGGGCTTTTTATAACAATGCCAAGGGGCGGAGCAAAAGACCTCCCCCTTGCTAGACCAAAGCATACCACACAGCTCAAGTGCAGACCCTTCCACACACCTGGTAATCATGCATGTGGTCAAGTCATCCCCTTATGCAGCCCTGCTGGGTAAAGCAAGCTCAGATCTCACTAGGAAACCTCTTTGGGCCTTCACATTCCCCCCAGCCTTTTCCTGCATGGGTTCTATGGCTCAAACGAAGGTACTTGTGCCTTCAGGGCAAGCACTTTACCAACTGAGCCAGTTCACTACCTCTTGGATTCAGTTTTGCAAAAGGCAAGAAGACTGGAGATATGTAGCAATCCGTATAGGGTTAAGATAAACCGTCTATATAAGGTGAAGCCAGGTGTGGTGGCTCACACTTGTAATCTCAGCTCTTAGAAGGCTGGTGCAGGAGGATCACAAGTTCAAGATCAGCCTGTTCTATATGGTGACACCCTGTCTTGGGAATAAGATAAACCCATGAAAAACTGACCTGGGCTCCAGGATAGCTCTAAGCAAGCATCTTAAGCTGAGCATCAGGGATGATGAATGTCCTTTAGCAATGTGACTGACAGCAGTCACATCTGGTCTGGAATGTCCTTCATTGCCTTCCTTGTGCCATGATTTTTTTTTTAATTTTTTGAGACAGGATCTCACTGTGTAGCCCTTGATGGCCTGGAACGCGCTATGTACACTAGACTTGCTTCAAACTCACAGGGATCTGTCTACCTTGACTTCCTGAGTGTTGGGATTAATGGCCTGTACCACCTTTGAGTAGCCTCTTCTGTCCAACTGCTCCTAAGACTAGTTAGTGGATAAGGCTCAGTAGGTGGGGTGAGGGTGACTGTAGGTTGGATTTTGAGGGAGCAAGTTATGCTGTTGGAGTGTATTTCCTACGGGTGATCTTGGGAGGGAGCAGGACCCAACAGAGGGCTATTAAGACCCAATAAAAAGCTGAGAAGATTGGCTTATTCTTGTAATTCTGTCTACCACTCAAGAGGCTGAGGAGTTCACCCTGAATTTGAAGTCAGCCTGAGCTACATAATGAAATCCAGGCCATCCTTAGCTACAGAGTGAGAGATTCAGTCCCCAAAACCAAAGTAAATACAAAGAGTAAAGTCCTCTCCTTTCTAGTCAACTGCTTGCTCTCAGAAGACCCCATCCCTGTGGCTCCTCCCTGCTCTCTGAGGTCTGGACAGTCCAGCTATGTCCTGGTGTCCCAGGTGCCTGCTGACATGCCAGTCTCTGCTGTCCTCGTGGTCATCACAAGGCTACAGTGCTCAGCACGAAACCTGAGTGAGCAGCCCACGTACAACTGAGTAACTGAGTGAGGTGGTGAAGACCTGGCCCGAGTTGCCTCCTCCGTGAAACCTGACACTTGCAGCTAAGCTTGAAGGAGAAAAGGAACATAGCAAGCTTTAACCTTATGACAGCTAAGCTTACCTGGGAAATACTGGGTTACACGAGAATAAGAAAAGGCAATGAGAAACTGTCTAGTCTGAGACAGAAGAGGTAACACTGCACTGCTGACTTCTGCTCTGGGAAACTGCTTGGCCCTTTCTCATTTCTGAAAAGGGTCACATGTACACTACTCTTCTCCCTGGAGAAGCGACCACCATCACCACCCTCTTAGACAGCAAAGTCTCTTTGCTAAAGGTCAAACTGTCTTAACTGGAAACTTCCAAATTTTAGCTTCCGTAAAACGTGCTTAGCTCTAGGAAAAATCTCTTTGGGGTGGGGATAAAAAAGACCACCCTAAGATGGTCACAAGATAAAGACAATGCCTAACCCTACATAAACCATGAACTATTTCTGATCAAGGCTGGACCTATTTAAATCATAGCCAGAGGCTACAGCTACGTGCTAATTAAAGTTTTTCCTTTATCTCCGAGGGCTGAGAATATCTTTTTAAGGAAGGCTGAGGAGCCCCCTCAACAAACTCAGTGTCTTTCAGGGCTGTCCATGTTGTCAGATACAGTGACTATGGGGGCCCTGGAGGACAGGGACACTGGTCACACCATGCCTTCTGACCAAGAAAGGGCTGAGGGAATAGCTCAGGCAATGTGATCGCTGTGCAAGCTTGAGAACCTGAGTTCTACCCTCGGAAACCACATTAAAAACCAGATGGGACAGTTGCTTGCAGATCTTCACTGTTTAGCCTGCCTGCTTTTCTGAGTCCTAATTCAAGAAGTGTAATACCAGTTAAAATCTTGAGCATGCCAGCCTGGTCTACACAGCGAGATCCAGGATAGGCACCAAAACTACACAGAGAAACCCTGTCTCAAAAAACAAAACAACAACAACAACAAAAAAAAAACAACAACAAAAAACAAAAAACAAAACAAAACAAAAGCCAGGCCGTGGTGGTGGTGCACGCCTTTAATCCCAGCACTCGGGAGGCAGAGGCAGGTGGATCTCTGTGAGTTCGAGGCCAGCCTAGTCTACAGAGTGAGTTCCAGGACAGGCTCCAAAGCTACACAGAGAAACCCTGTCTCAAAAACTGAAAAAAGATAAAACAAAATCCTGAGTATGCTAAAACCCTCTGGGCTTTCTCACTCTGAAGAACCTGCTTCCCTGCGACTTCTACTGTTGAACCTGCCTGATTTCCGGAACCCTAACTCAAAAGACATGGCTACCGCTCTCCCTCTTACCCATTTCCCGGCTCCCAGGAGCAGCCAAGCTTTTCCATTTGCCTGCCCTATTGATTTTTCTCTTAAACTCCTATAGAATCGTCTTCCAGCTGAAGAAGAGGAAAAGCAGCAGCAGCAGCAGCTGGGTGTGGTGACGAGTTTGCATCCCGAGCTGGAGACTCACGGGACTGACACCCTATCCGACACACCGAGCGAGCTCCTGGTCACTGAGAGACTATCTCAAAAACCAAGGTGGGCAGCTGGAAATGCCTGGGCAGTCAGAGTGCACTTGTTACTCTGAGTTCCATTCCCAGCACCCACATGGTGGCTCAAATGCAGCAGGCTTTCTTGGACCGCCAGCCCCCAAATCATGACACGGAGACTTTATTATGAATGCCTGGCCTTAGCTTAGACTTGTGTCTAGCTAGCTTTTTTTAAACTTAAATGAACCCATTTCTATTCATCTGTGTGCTGCCCCCAGGCTTGTTTACCTATCTACATGCTGTCCATCCTGCTTTCCTGCTTCCTCCATGTCTGTCTGTCTATCTGTCTGGCCCCCAGCTGGCTGGCTGGCTGGCTCCCCTTTTCTCTCTGCCCACTAGCTCCGCCTATTCCTCCCCTGCCTAGCTATTGGCCATTCAGCTTTTTTATTAGACCAATCAGGTGCCTTAGGCAGGCAAGGTGAAACAACAACACATCTTTTCATAATTAAACAAATGCAGCATAAACAAGTGCAACATATCTTTACATAAACAAATATCCTGTAGCACAAACAAATGCAACTCATCTTTACATGGTTAAGCAAATATTCTATTCCACAACACTCAACCATCTGTAATTCCAATTCTGGGGGATCCATCCTCCTCTGGCCTCCTTGAACACCGAGCATGCAAGTAGTGCACAAAAATACATGACTGTTAGAACACCTATACACATAAAAATTTTAAAATAAAATGATAATTTAAAACAAACAGCAAGTTTGATAGTACCTAAGGAATGACAGCTGAGGCTCTCCCTGGTCTCCACACATGCACACATGTGTACACAAACCTGAACACATATATGTATCTGTGCATACATGAACACACACAAAGGTGGTCCTGAGTGGCACAGGTATAGTAAGGGATATGAGGAGTACTGTGGGCAGGTGCGGTGGACACAAAAGCATGGTGAATTATGGGAGTAACTTGGGTAGGATACAAGATAGGTATGGATTCCAGAGAATTACCTGAGCTGGGGACAGTTAGGTGGATTATGCAGAGGGAGAAGTCACTGTAGTTAAGGAAACCAGTCACATGGCTACAATAGATGCCGGGGGCGGGGGGGGGGGGGGGGGGGGGGGGGGGGGGGGGGGGGGGGGGGTTGTAGGAGTGCATCAGTGCAGTTAGAGGTGACGTCATCTTTCCCCATCCATCCGATTCAAGACCAAGGCAGTGCTTCTTTGCCACATTGGTTCAAATTGGTGATGGCTAAGACAGCATTACCCAACAACACCTTTCCACTTTCTGGGGAGTTGATCAGCAGGAGTTGGCTCTGCAGTCCTTTCAGAGCAAGTTCAACTCGGGAGTTTCCTGTATAGGCCACTTCCGTCTCGCCAGCCCTGCCTGTGTCCAGCGTCCTGCACAGCTCCATGGACTGGACTCTGAAGAGGTACACTGAAGCCAGGGCTCTTACTTGGTGACTTAGAGCAACTCAGGCATGACCCTGATTTCCTTAGCATGACTTTCTGACTGTAGTTCAGCGGTTCTCAACTTTTTTAATGCTGTGACCCTTTGATGCAGTTCCTCATGCTGTGGTGACCCTCAACCATAAAATCATTTTGTTGCTACTTCATAACTGTAATTTTGCTGCTATGA